GTCTTTCCAAGTTTTGCCTATTCTATCTTTCAGCAGATTTAATGTTTCTGTTTTAATTTTAGATCTTTGATCCATTTTGAATTCAGTTTAGTGCATGGTGAAAGACATGGGCCCAATTTTAATCTTTGGCATGTGCAGAGCCAGTTTTTCAAGCACCATTTATTGAAGAGGCTATCTTTCTTCCAGTGAATGTGTTTGGCACCTTTGTCAAAGACAGGGTGGCTGAGTATGGCTGGAGTTGTTTCTGCATCTTCTAATCTGTTCCATTGATCTTTGGGTCTGATTTTTTTTTTCTTTGCCAGTAACATACTGTTTTTATCACAGTAGCTTTATAGTATAATTTTGAGTTAGGGATTATGATGCTCCTTGCCTTGCCTTTGTTGCCCAGAATTGCCTTTTCTCTTCTAGGACTCTTCTGGTTCCAAATGAATTTTAGGGTAGTTTTCTCTAATTCTATGAGATATGCTGTTGGAATTTTGATCAGAATTGTATTAAATCTGTATAACAGTTTTGGGATATGGCCATTTTCACTATATTGGTTCTTGCTACCCAAGAGCAAGGGATATCTTTCCATTTTCTGATATGTACTTCAATCTCCTTTTTCAGAGTATTATAGTTTTCAGTGTAGAGGTCTTTTACATCATTCATTAGATTGATTCCTAGGTATTTCATTTTTTTGGATGCTATCATGAAAAGTGTTGTTTCCCTAATTTCTTTCTCAGTGAGTTTGTAGTTTGTGTACTGGAAGGCTATTGAATTTTGAGTGTTGATATTTTATCCAGCTATGCTACTGAATTTGCTTATTAAATCTAGCAGTTTTTTAGTGGAGTTTTTGGAGTCTTCTTTGTAGAGTATAATGTCATCTGCAAATAATAATAATTTATCTTATTCCTTTCCTGTCATTATTCCTTTTATTTCTTCCTCTTGTCTAATTGCTCTGGCTAAAGTTTCCAGGAGTATGTTGAATAAGAGTGGAGACAGTGAATATCCTTGTCTTGTTCCTGATTTTTAGAGTGAAAGCTTTTAGTTTTCATCCATTTAGTATGATATTGGCTGTTGGTTTGTCATACATGGCTTTTGTGAGATTGAGATAAAGATCATCTACTCCAGTTTTCTGAAATGTTTTTTCATGAATGATGTTGGGCTTGGTGAAATGTTTTTCTGCATCTATTGAGATGATCATATAATTTTTGTCCTTGCTCTGTTAATATGGTGTTTTACGTTTATTGATTATGTATGTTGAACCATTGCTGCATCCCATAGTATATAATCTTCTTGATGATTTGCTGCATTCTGTTTGCTAGTATTTTACTGAGGATTTTTGCATCCATGTTCATTAGGGAGATTGGCCTGTAGTTCTCTTTCATAGTTGGGTTCTTCTCTGGTTTTGGTATCAGGGTAATACTTGCTTCCAGGAATGAATTTGGGAGTATTGCTTCCCTTTCAGTTTCATTAAAGGTTTTGAAAAGTAGTGGTGTTAGGTCTACTCTAAATTTCTTATAGCATTCAGCAGTGAATCCATCAGGGCCTAGGCTTTTCTTTATTGATGGGTTTTTAATTACATCTTCAATTTCATTGATTGATGTTGAATTATTTAGGATTTTTATATCTTCTTGATTAGGCTTTGGTAATTCATATGTATCCAGGAATCTGTTGCTTTCTTCTGCATTTCCCATCTTATTGGAATACAAGTTTTCAAAGTAGGTATAGATGATCTTCTGGATTTCTTCAGGGTCTGTTGTGATTTTACCCTTTTCATTCCTAATTGTGTGGAGTTGAGTCTTTTCTTTCTTTTTGATAAAGTTGGCTAAGGATTTGTTGATTGTATTTAATCTTTCTAAGAGCCAACTCTTGGATTCATTGATTCATTGATTCATTGTATTTTTTTTAGTTTCCGTGCATTAATGTCTGCTCTAATCTTTATAATTTCCTCCCTCATATGAGGTTTTGGCTTAGCCTGCTCTCCTCTTTCTAGAGGTTTGAGGTTCACCATTAAGTTGTGTATTTGAGCTTGTTCTTTTTTCCTGATATGGGTATTCACTGTTATAAATTTCCCTCTTAGGACTGCTTGCATTGTGTCCCAGAAGTTCTGGGATGTTATACTGTCAATGTTTAATTGTAGGTGCTGTCTAATTTCTTCTTTAATTTCATCTGTGACCGATTGGTTGTTCAGGAGGGTGCTATTTAATTGCCATGTGTTTATGAAGTTTTTGTGATTTCTTTTGCCAATGATTTCCAATTTAATTGCACTGTGGTCTGATGATATGCATGGGATAATTTTGATTCCTTTGTATTTACTTAAGCATGTTCTATGAGCTAGTATATGATCTATTTTGGAGAACATCCTATGTGCAGCTGAGAACAATGTGTATTCTAATCTTGTGGGGTAGAACCCTCTGTAGACATATACTAAGTCCATTTGTTCAAAAATTTGGTTTTAATAAAGGTTTTACTGCTTCATTGTTGATTTTTTTGTCTAGTTGATCTGTCTTTTTGTGACAGTGGGGTATTAAAATCCCCAGTACAAACTGTATTAGTGCTTATTTGATATTTTATGCCTGTTAATATTTGTTTTATACAGTTGGATACACTAGTATTTGTTGCATATATATTTATGATTTTTATTTTTTCCTCTTGGATTGTTCCCTCTGCAAGGATGTTGTGACTTCTTTGTCTCTCTTAATCAGTCTTGCATTGAAAATCATTTTGTCTGCAAATAGAATAGCTACCTCTGCTTTTTCTGGGTTCTTGTCACATGGAGTATGTTTTCCATCCTTTCACCTTCAGTATGTGAATTTTTTAAAAATTGAATCTGTTTTTTCTATGCAGCATATTGTTGGATCTTGCTTCTGCCAGTCTGTGTCTTTTGATTGGTGGAGACCATTAACATTGATGGTTATAACTGATATGTATTGACTTATCCTTATCATGTTATTTTCCTGTCATTGGCTCCCCCTCTTTTTCTCTCCCTGTTTAACTGTTTACATTGCCTGGTAGATTCCTTCTGTTGTGGTTCATGGAGTTGTAGTCTTTGTTATGTCTTTCTAGAATGTCCTTCAAAACATTTTTGAGTTCTGGTTTGGTGCTCATAAATTTCCTCAGATGTTCTTTGTTGTGAAAGTACCTCATTTCTCCATCAGTTTGAAAGATAATTTTATGGGGTACATCAATCTGGGTTGAAGGTTGTTGTCCTTTAGAACTTGAAACACTTTACTCTAAGCTCTCCTTGACTTGAGGGTTTGTGCTGAGAAGTCAGCTGTGATTCTGATGGACTTTCCTTTATAGGTGATTTGTTTCTTTTCCCTGACAGCTTTTAAGATTCTATTCTTGTGTTGAATTTGTGGAATCATGACTATGTTATGCCTGGCTGTAGATTTTTTTTGATTGTGGCTAATTGGAGTTCTATAAGCCTCACTTAAACTGTTGGTCAAATTCTTTTTCTCTACCAGGGAAGTTTTCTGCCATGATGTCTGTAAACAGTCTTTTTTTTATTTTTTTTTTTTAAATCTTTTTGAGACAGTCTCACTATGCAGTTCGGGCTGGCCTTGAGCTCCTTTTGTAGCCCAGCCTGGTCCCGAACTCACAACGATCCTCCTGCCTCAGCCTCCTGAGTGCTGGTATTACAGGCATGCACCAACCACACCTGGCTGTGAACAGTTTTTTTGGTATCATTTGTACTATCCCCTACTTTTTTATTGACTCCAGTCAATCTTAAGTTATTCTTCTCTGCCTCATCTAGAAGTGCTGGATTGATTTCTCATGGTCCCTTACTATTTTTAAGAAATATTTCTTTTCATGATCATTAACCACAAGCCTGTCTTCTATATCTGAGATCCTGTCCTCACATTGGCTTAATCTACTGTGGATACTTTCAATGGAATTTTTGTTCTTCTGGATATCTGCTTGAATCTGCCTTATGGATTCCTTTTCTTTCCTATGCTGAGCACTCATGGCTTCCATAATTTTCTTAAGATCCTCTATTTTTTTTTTTTTTGTCTGTATCTGCTCTAGAGTCACTAAACATGGTTTTCATTGTGGATACCATCTCTGCAGTTATCTGAGAAAGTTATTTCTAACTTGATTTTTTCTAGAACCTCCTTCATTTGCTCTGTTGTTACCACCTCAGAGAGGCCAGGTGGGTGGCTTTCAGATTGTCCTACCTCATTGTCCCCTGGGTTTGCCTTTGGTGAACTGTATGTCTGGGGTTGCATCTTGTTTAAGTGTCTTTTCATTTTCTTTTATTTTTTTAGTTTAATTCCTAGGGTTGGACTTGTAAATTACCTATGTTAGATTGCTTTATTGTTAGTATTTAGAATCCTTAGGAAATGACTACTTCTCAAAGCTATCTCCCAGGTGTAGCTGGCTTTTGGGTTTTGAGTCTGTTGCAAGATCCTACCTCTTCAATTTGTTGGGGATGAGACATTGCTTCCTGTTTGGCCCAGCCTCTAGTCCTTTGGCACTGTGCCACAGTATTTTCTGGATTGACTTAGTCAATCTCAGTCTTGTAATACCAGGAGAAACAGCTATTTAGAATAATTATGTCACTTTTGGCTAAAATGGTACCATCAGCAGTAACAGTATCAACAATCACAGCCTAGAAAATGACAAGTTGAGGTAACCATTAATTTTCCACCATTAACTAACTGTATGAACTAGATTTGTGGTTACATAACAAAATCTAAAACAAACAAGAAAATTAAATGCAGTATACGAGTCCTTAATATGTCAATTTTGCCTTCAGGGATTAAAATTTCAAATGGGCTAGGGAGAAAATAGAGAAGGGGAATATAAGGAACAGATTAGAAGTAAGGCTAGAGGACAAAGGGGGATCATGCTAACTTTGGGAAACTAGTGCAGAAGACTAGAGGGAAAGAGAGAAGAAAGAGATAAAAAGGAGAACAGAATAGAACCACAACCACAGGGAGGCAGGAAACCATGTTCATACTCATATAAGAACAAGATCAAATAATGAAGCAGAAAAAAACAAAAACAGGAAAACAAAAAAACAAAATCATGACCACCACAACAAAAAACAAACAAGAGAGAGGAAAAAAACAATCCACTTCCAGTTATGTCTCTACTGTCACTGGTAGACAACATGTGAAGACAGAGTTCCGATCCACACTGACCTATCCCAGCAAACCAGCAGTAACTTTTTGGTTGGGTAGTGAATAATCTCAACGAGCCTGCAACTTCTGGGTAAGATCAACTCTTTGAGCCTAAAGCTGTGAGCACAACTTCCTGGGGCCTGAGCCCAGCTGGGAGCTACTAGATGGAACCAACAGCTTGCTCTGAGTTCTGAGCTCAGCCATCCCTCTCCAAAATGGCTCCTGGCCAATGGCACTCTCTTGCAGGATGACCGAGCCCTCAGCACTCACTGCCAGCTCGTTCAGTTCTTTACATCTGCTGCTGCCCTGCACTGCTGTGTCTCTCCATGGAGGCCTCTAGGGTCGCCAGCAGTCACTGTGTGTCCAAGGGTTTGAGCCACTCCTCTTGCATAGTGAGTTCCATTTCAGGGAGAAGGTACTGTGAGCTACCTCCTTCTTTTTTTTGTTGAAGTTTCTCTCTTCACTCTCTCCATGGGCTTCAATTCACATTTCAGATCCTTCCTGGGTCAAAGGGACCCTCTTCCCTCCTTCTTGTCTTCCTTGCATTGCTGTATTCCAGCATCTGGACAGCAACTCAGAGAGGCTCTTTCTCTGCTGCTTACCACTCTGACATCTTCAAGAAGCATATTTTGAGATGATTTTTAAAAAACAAGTTACAGAAACTAGAAACTAAGGAAAAATATAGTATTCAGAATTAAATCTTTCCTACCCAAAGATGTTTAATATAGGATGTAAAAGAGTCATTAACATCCTATCTGCAAAATTTATGGTTATTTGTTACTCTGTTTGTGAATTTATTTATAAGTAAACTGTTCCAAATACAATAGTTATTTTATTTTAAAGAGGAAAAAAACAATAAAAATGATACAGAATTTCAAAACAAGATGACAGGGAATTAACAATGTTTGTTATATTGCATATTGTTGTATTCAAAGTAGTTGCTCAGATTACCAGATATAGGCATGTAAAATTGATCAAACAATATGAGCACTAGCTGTTCCTTTCAGTGAACTAATAGAAAGTAGTAGTACAATTATCTTAGCTCTTTTGTGTGTGTGTATCTATATATATTTTTTACCTTCCTTCTCAATAGTTTTTTTGAAACAAGGCTTCTTTTTCTTAATCTCTTCCTGGGTGCAATTTGAACCCCTCCTTATGTAAGCGTATGAATGATTGTGAGAGAGCATTTCTCTGACCTGAATGAAGTACAGTAGCTTTCATCTATGCGAAGACAGAATCAAAGGACTCATTTGTGCTTTTACATTAAAGAAAACACTCTCCCTTTGTTTTTTTCACAGATCACGTGGCCAAGGAGCCAGTGGAAGACACAGACCCCAGCACTTTCTCTTTTAACATGGTAGGTTACACACGCGCCATTTGGAGCCATACCCCTTGTTTTTCTTTTTTCTCTTTTGTTACTTCACATTTTCCTTACTGAGTTTTTGCTCAGAAGAGTGTTTACAGAAACCCAAAGTAAGATTTTCTATTTTTATCTGGTGTTCTTGGTGGAAGAATGAACCTTAGGATTCTCCAGGTTGGAAATGGTGTGTGTAGGATCCTATTCTTGTTTTGTGTGTACCAGAAGTGATCTTAGATTTTGTAAAATCTTTGGCTATCTGTCTACTTTTAATACTATTGGTCTACTTTTAATTCAAACTAATCTAATATGAAATTGAAGGTAAAAGAAGATGATTTTGCAGGAACTGGGTAGAGAAGAGCCATACTGATTTGTCTCTGTTGGCATCTTTAATCCCGGGAGCTCCATCCTCTTCCACCCTCTACTCTGAGCCCCATTGCTTCCTGTGAAGTTATCAAAGATATCACAAGCATTGCCTTTCCTCCTCCAGGTACCCTGTGAGGTGCTGGGCAGTTGTTCTTGTCCCATTGTACAGGGTGCAGTGACAGTGAGCAGGTGTGGGCACATCCCTGCAGCCTGGACTATGAGCAGCATAGGTCTACCATGTCCTCCCTGCCATGATGTTTTTGCCTCACCACAGGCCCAGAAATATTGTAAACAGTGGAGCCAAGTGACCATGGACTATCAACTCTGACAACATAAGCCAAACAAAACCTCTTCTTTTTCTTTTTGAGACAGGGTCTCACTATGTAGTTCAAGCTGGATTTGAACTCATTATGTAGCCTAGGCTGGCCTTGAACTCATGGCAGTCCTACTGCCTCAGCTGCCCAAGTGCTGGGATTATAGGCGTGCACCACAGAGCCCAGCTAACCTTTTCTTTTTTTATGTTGATTTTCTTAAGTATTTTGTTACAGAGACAGAAAGCTAACTACATGGGTCAGCTTTTCCATTGGTGGAAAAAATATCTGGCATCTGCATCTTAAAAGAGGAGAAATTTAATTTGGCTCATGGTTTCATTTTTTTAAAATTTATTTTAAGAATAAAAGAAGGAAAACATATTAACAGACATCTGTTTACAAACCAGCATAAGAAAAATGCACACAATACAGAGTTACAGACAAAGTGGCTCATGGTTTCAAGTTTTCAGTCCACGGCTAACTCCAAGGCAGGAACATCACAAGGAGAAGGGTGTGGCACAGCAAAGATGCTTAGTTCATGGCAGCCAGGAAGTAGAGTAAGGAACAGTTCCAGGAAGGATAGCAGCCTGGACCAGATATAGTACCAAAGGTCACACTTCCATAAGCTGCCCAACCATACCCAGAAGTGTGCTTTACTAATCTCCTAGACTTAATCAAGTCAACTTGACAATTACATTTATTTTTGTTTTGTTTTGTTTTGTTTTGTTTTGTTTTTACGGTACTGGGAATCGAACTCACGACCTTGTGCTTGCCAGGCAGGCGCTGTGCCGCTGAGCTAAATCCCTAGCCCCAGACAATTACATTTAACTGTCATATTGACACAGAAGAGTTCTTCCTATATGTATCAGAGGGAGTAAGGTCCTGCTAACACCTTGATCTTGGTCTTCCACTCTCTAGAATAGTGACAGAACACACTGTCATTGTAGGTCCCCCAATATGTGGTATTCTGCTAAGACAGCCCTAGAAAACCAACACATTGAAGCTGTGGAAACATCACTCTATTCTCAGTATGGACAAGTGGTCAAAGGTAGCTCTGACCCAGAGTGAGGTAGCCATGACCCACCCCCTTCAACTAGGCTCCACTTGCCTCCAATTATACCACCTCCTGATAGTCCAATGATGAGATCAGAGCCTTTAAGCTGTGGTCACTTCCCAAACTTCCCAGTGTTCCCTGAACCTGCTGCATTGGAAGGCAAGCCCTCAACACATGAGTCTTGGAGGACATTTCAGATGGAACCATAACCACCCTCCCCCTGCTTCTTCTAACTGCTGGTGGTGGTTGCATGCAATCCTGGACACTCCTTGGCTTTTAGATGCACCATGAAGTCTCTCACTTTGTTAGCATATGACCATCTTCTTTCTGTGAGCCTTATTTCTGTATCTCTTTTATCCTCTTCCTCCTCCTCCTCTTCCTGTTCTTCCTCTTCTTTCTACCCTCTTCTCTCCCACTCCTGTTCTTCTCCACCCCTTCTTCTTCTCCTTTTCCTCTTTTTTGTGTGTTGTGCTGACATTTGAACCCAGAGCTTCACATATACTAGGTAAGTGCTCTACCACTGAGAGTGGATGTAAGTATCTACAATTCTCTCTTCTCTTCTTATAAGGACACCAGTCTCATTGGCTTGAGGCTCCACCCTACTAGACTATGACCTCATCTTAACTAATTATAATCGTATTTCAAAAAAAAAGTCATATTCTGAGATGTGAGGGGATGTGATGTCAATATATCCTTTTTGGGGGACATAACTCAGCCTATAGCATCCTGCTGCCTACAGGCTTAAGTGTACGTTCCTTGCTGAGATAGATGCAGTCTCTGTGATCTTATCTCTGCATCTGCTGTTCACCTGCTGAGCCAATTTCATGTAGCTGTCTGCTGTCCCTTAAATACTCCTTGCTCCCTCTCACCTTCCCAGGACACCAATCCTCTGCTCTCTCTGCCAGGGAAGTGTCCCTGCTTCCTCAAATTGTGGCTCAGGCTACTTCAAACCCACAGAGCCTTCTCTGCCTGGGGACCTCAAGGTCTTTCTTTCTTTGCTGGTTCCCTTTGTATGGTCCCTGTTGTTATCTCTAGATTGGAATTTCTTGCTTGTCTGACTTCCCACCACACTGGGTTGACCATTTGCCCCTACACAGAGCCACACCCAAGACAGGTAGCCACTGATATTTGATGCACCAAGTTCCGGAGGACCTTGAGCTCAGTCCCTTTGCTTCATTTTCATGCTCCATCATTTCATATTCAACCCTGTCTTCTTCTGTCCACCTCTCCTCTACTATAGGATTTCCTTCCCTATACCTGTTCCACTCACTGGCCCTTGCTCCTGCTGCATCTACCCTCTGCAGTGACCTTGCTTCTTCCTTGGTTCCCTCTGAGTCCTGGCCATCGCTTGAACATCAGTTTCTCCAGAGGACCCACAGTCGCTCCCACCTGTGTCTATACGGAGGGACTTGCCGCAGGTCTGCACTTTATCATGCATTACAGTCTCTGAAGAGGCTCACAGTCTAGCTGAAGGAGTGGACAAGGACTTCCATAGCAGCCTGGGAAGAGTGTGCTACAAGGATGTGGTCTATGCTTTAATGAGAAGAGTAGCTGGGGTGGAACTATTTGACATTCCAGGTCTCTGTGATTCTGATTCACTTATTGATTTTTGTCGGGAAGAGGTGGGAAGCTTCTAGGAGTACCAGAACTTCACTGCACAGCTCCAAAGGAACTCAAGGAAGGCATCAAAATAAAACCCTTGGTTCCACATTTACTCCTTTTTCTCCTTTGTCATGGAAGGCTGGGGAGACCTGCAGGAAATTTGAAAGGCAGTTTGAACCCTTCAGTCTGGAGGGCAGGGGATGAGTCAGGAGTGGAGCTGGGCAGAGGTTGGGGACAGTGGGCACATTCTCACCCTCTTGGATGCTTCAGAGAATGGGCCACATTGTTTAATTGGTATAAGTTTCCAGAACATTAGATATCTACAGATAGGTGTGAACACATTAAACAACGTGTCATTGTAAGAACATTTGTGATTTGAATTCCTTTTAACATGTGGGTGTCTTACTCATTTTGCCGTTGCTGGGACCCGGTTCCTGACACCCACAACATAAAGGAGAGATTTATTTGCCTCACAGTTTCCAGTGCGTTTAGTCCCTGGTTGCTCCAAGGGAGAAACAGCATGGCGGAAGGCCCCGGCAGAGAAGCTGCTTATCCATGGCAATCAGGAACTAGAAAGAAGGGGATAAGAATACACCCTTCCAGGTCACACCCCCAGTGACCCACCCCCAGCCAGGCCCCACCTCCTCACAGCACAGTCAGCTTCTGAACTCACCAGTGGATGAACCCACTGATGAGGACAGCACTTCCATGACCCGGTCACCTTCCGATAGCCTCACCTCTGAACACATGAGCCTTAAGGAGACATTTTGGATTTAAACCATAACAACAGGGCTCCCCTCAATCAGTGTCTTGAGGACTGTGCATAATTGTGCATAATTAGTAACTGATCTTTGGATCTTTGCACAATTTACAGCTCAGTTGCCTTTGTGATCTGGTTCTAGGATTCAAACCCAATAGTGAGTACTGCCCAGAACGTGCACACTCACTGACCCATATGACTGTCATAGGAATGGTGGGAAGAAATGGGTCTGTCCCCATGACGCATGAAAAACAAAAGTCTCTTGATTTCAAGCTGTAGGAAGTAGATAGGAAGAATAGCACTGCAGTGGAAAGGAAGTGTGGTTTAGTGGCCAGAGCCAAGGAAATTAGAATAAGGCTTATTCTACTTCATGTTCCAACATTAACTTCTTGTCAACCTTGATTTCATGTCTATAGATTGAGAATAAAAGCAGTCAGGGGGGCAGGTCTATTGACAAGTCTGAGGCTAACCATTTCCAACGTTTTAAATTGAAACCATGACTTTCCCAAGACAAAGCTTTCTTTCACTTTGATCCTCTAATTTGACATTTAAAAATAACTCTTTTCTTTTGTTAGATTCTACAGTCAGACAAATATCCTATTCAAGATACGGCACTCCCTAAAGGTATGTACAGTTACTATAACTACTTGAACTTGTGATTAATTTAATGTCTTGAACAAAGGGACTAGTCAAAGTAATTTTTCATTATTGAAAGTTTTGGTAAAACAGAAATTCACTGGTCATTTCACTTATGATTTTTTACATGATTCTCTCAGAAATGAATTAAAAAGTATAAATTATTTTATATCAGATGTTACATTAAATTCCTGTGGTTTTTGTTTTGGGATTGAACACAGGGCCTTCACACTGAGCTCCATCTCCAGCACTTTTTTTATTTTGAGAAAGGGTTTTGCTAAGTCACTAAGTTGCCCAGGCTAGGCTTGAAATTGTGATCCTCCTGCCTCAGCCTCTTAGTGCTGGAATTACAGGTGTGTGTCACCATGCCCAGCTTTCTGTGGTGTTTTTATCAGAGTCCTATGAGGTTGCCTGGACTCTGGGTCCAAGTGACAGAAACCTAACTCGAATTTGTTTTAAAAGGCAGAGAGACTTGCTGGCCCAGGGAGTTCCTGAGCACTGCTGGATGTAAGAGTTTAAGGATGTTCTCAGGCTCAGTTTCTGCACCTCACAGCTCTTTCTTCTGTGTTGGCTCCGTTCTGAGGCAGGATTTCCCCATACAGGGGCAAAGGTGCTCCCCAACAGTGCCAGCGTCAGGCTATGCTGTCAGTATGGAGAGAAGTGGCCCCTGCCATCTCTGTCAGTTTTCCAGATGACTGTGGTAGAGGCAGCCCGGGTTCACGTGCCCATCCCTGAATCAATTCTTGCCATCAGAAGGATGGGGGATATTGGCCAACTCTGAGCCTTGGTATTAAGAGGGGGAAGGCATGATGTAGATTACGTCTGAACCACAGGAAAGAGTGCCCTGTGGCTGGACAAAAGGGCAAGGTGAAGCAAACCCAAACAGCTGTCTTTTACAACCCATAGTCTCAGGCTTAGGCATGGTGCGGACCATAGAAGTGGCTGGGCCCTGACTTTTCATAATCCTTGCTTTGGGGTGGGCTGCAAGGCCATCTTCCATTAGGAGAGCCAAACTGTTCTTTGTCACCCTGGAGCCCTGCTGACAACCTGGAGATGCAGGAGAGGTTGGGTGGGGGCAGTCACATGTGTCTTCAGAGCTGGCAGGGCCCCTGGCTTCCTGTCACCAAGGCAAGGTCAGTCTGCTCCTATGAGTTTCCCTGGTGGTGGGAAATGGTAGGGAGCTTCCTGCCTGGGCCAGTCTGTGGTAAATGCAGGGTTCAACCAAAGCTCTGCTCCTCTCCTATCCATATCCCCAGCCTTTTCTCCATGCCTGCTGAAGTGACTCCATTAGGGTATCCTTACTTTTCTTTCCTGGGCGTGTTCTGGGGGTACAATGGTGTAGGGAATGCCACCAAGGCCAGATTTGGATTTAAACCCTGGTGTGCTGGGGGAGATTTCCAGCAATCTGTCTTCCCCTTTGCCCTCTCCACAAAGGACCCCTGGTCTTTGAGTCACCAAGCTGGGACTCGATCTCAGCAGGCAGTAGAAGGTGCAGGTCTGGCAGGAGAGATGGATAGGAGGTCAGCGCAGGCTAGTTCTCAGGCTTCTATTTGCATTCAGGGGAGCCTGTTTAGAAAGCAGATGTGGTGGGTCTGGGATAGGGCCTAGGAATCTGCATTCTAGCCCACACCAGTGTGGTTGGGATGTGGACCCCTGCCTGGGATGCTTCCAGGAATGCAGAGGGGGGAATCAAACCCCTGTTCAACAGCCTGGCTCTAAGCAGCCTCAGCAAATAACTCCAGGTCTCAGGGTCTCTGTCTTCTCTTCTCTGCAGTAGGAAGCACCAGGCTAGCATTCCCCTTCCAGGATGCTTGCGAGAATTCAGTGAAGTGGGGTCTAGAACTGTGTCTGGCACACTTGAGCACCAAACAGGGGTGGAGGGACAGTTGGTCAAAGAATTATGGAAAATCAGAGTGGAAGTTTCAAAAGTTCTTGAGCCGATGGGTCAAGGTCAAGGGGTCAAGGATGTTGTGTGTTCTGACTGAACATCTTTTCTTTATCAACCTTGAAGGAGATTTCCTGTTTTGAGAGAAGACTGTTGCTTAGCAACCTGATCCTACACTTACCAAGTTTTGCCTAGAACTTGAGTTTACAGAACCTTAATTAAAATTATTAGATTTAGTGACTGAAAGCCATCTTAGACCTTTCCTTTGTCCTTATTCATATTAAATACATAATTTCTTACCTCCACAGAAATATATCATTTTGTATGTAAACGAACCATGGTTAGAAGTTTAGAATTTTACTCTAAACATTTCCACTGGATAATATAATAATTTAATGTCTCCTAGTATATTTCTTGAACTTCAAAAATGGAGCCAATATCATAATTTTATCATTAAGCTGTTTTCAGGGAAAGAAATTCCAAATGAATTAGTGAAGATAATTTATAGACCCAAAGTAAATGAATCCTAATTATATTAAATACCAACTAGGATTCCAACATTCAAGTGAATTTTAGGGAGGCTACTTTATAGAGGAGTAATATGTAATTAGCTTTAATAATTTCCATATGGTTTAAAAGTTCTCAAATTCATTTTCTTACGCAAATTAAGCGTGTCTCGCAAAATCTCTGTTATACTACTAGTGTATCCCTACTTTATTCATGAGCAGCATAAAGCTATTTTTTTTTTTTTTTCTTATTTGCACTACTGGTGATTGAGCCCAGGGGCTTTTACTCCAAGGTACACCCCTGCCCCCCAACTTCTTTTTTGTATTTTGAGACAGGGACTCACTAAATCAGCCTACTTTAGTACAGACAGGCATGTGCCATGACACCTGGCTTCAAAAAGCCAACGCTTTAACACTGGCCAAACTCAAGCAATTTTGAAGATGTGGCTTTTTCAGTAAGTCCCCTGTGGAGATCTGGTGTAATTTCAGCAGTCAGCATCTGATTTGTTATTCTGTTTGCTTTCTCTTCGGGACTAAATGCAGAGCTCCCACCTGTGTTCACACCGCCCCCAGCCCCTGGGTCTCAGCAGTCTTGGGTGCGTTCTGCTGGCTTCTCCACTGCTGCTTCTGCTGAGTGTCTGCAGCCCCTGGACTCAGGACTCCTGTGTGGTGGGGGTTATCTTACCCACATAGTTCCTGCTTTTTCACAGAAGCTGCTGGCATGAGTGTTCTGAAAGGAATGTGGCTCTTTTTCACATTGGAAAGAAAAAAATGTGTTTGGAAAAAGAATTTTGAGTTTTGAGGCACTGTTCACAGAGGTAGAAAATTGTCCGTAGCTAAGCACTCACACAAATGCATTTGGCTTACCTGCTACTTCTTTTCTCATATTGCTCAATACTTTTTATAGTGTATTTACAAGATAAAGAGAGAAGTGGGACAGATTGGGGATTTGGATGTTGTTGGCACTTTACGTGCCTGGAGTCTTCATTTTAAATAAGCTCCCCTGATAAGATGCTTCCTCCAGGGATATCAGTGGGTCTCCCTGGGGCAGGGTCACATACAGGGGGTTTTGTCTATGGCCTGGTGGAGCCATCAAACCCCCGATGGCAAGATTCCTCCATTGGGTGCTGGTGAGCAGTGGGCATAGCAGAGTTCTGTGTTCTGGCAAGGAGAGCGGTGGGTACCTAGCATTCCACCCTCTGCTTTCCATCAGCCTGTGGGCCTCAGTGTCCTTGGGGTAGGGGAATACACGCAACAGCAAGAGGACAGGCAGGTCACTGCCTTTGCCAGAATGACATGCACCAAGTGCCGGGCAGATTCTGCAGACCTTACAGGGGCCCACCTGCACCAGTGCTGGGTGTGCACTCACAAACCACGTCTAGGACACTGCGGGCACAGCGGCCAGGATGCTCACCAGGCTAATGCAGCAAAGGGGTGGGGTGTCCCTGGTTACCTCCGGAGCGGACGCATGATTGGTTTTTTGAATAATTGCATGGGTTGGTTGGGAACTGCCCCAAAAGAAGCAGAATTGTGCCTAATCCCCTGATAAGAAAACTTGGGAGAGGAACTTGAAGTTAGGTGATGATTCCAGGCTCTCCCAATTTTACTAGGTGTTGAGGCAACACCGTGATAGTGAGCCTTAATTTTAGATCTTCCATGAGAATATATGCTTTCTTTTATCAAGCTTTGTGTCTTTTTCCCTCGTAGCCGAAGAGTGTGATACAGTTACTTTGAACTCTCCACCAAATTCTGATGAGCAACATCAGGTAAGAAAAATTTCAACTATTTGTTACCACCTTAGGTGTATGATAATCAAACTAAACTTTCAAAAGAATGATTTGATAGAGGTTTAAAAACAAAGAATGAATAACAGGATTTCTTGGTCATGAAATAACTGGGAAAATAATCTTTAAGTATCCCAGTTAGATAGCATGTCTGTACAAATTTTCTAATTTCTAATAACTAGTAGCTTTAGTCCGTTCCTTGAATTAAGTGTGTATTTACATGCCAGAATAGAGCATCGATATTGGTGACTTAGGAAAGAAAATTGTTCTTTCTTTTTACGTGCAATTGGCAAGCGATAGGTGGGAAAAATTATTTTTAAAGGCAGACCAATACTAGATAATATAATACAACATTTTTGTAATGGTTAATAAAACTTGTCCTTTTTTCAGATTTTAGAAGTCAGACTTTAGCCTATTATTGTCTTACTGTCTTTTCCTAAAAAGCATGTTTGTTCTGTTCTGATTTTAAAAGATTAATTGAAGTTCAGATTGTGCGTGGAAGTGTGACTTTACTGCTCACCTCCGGATGTACCTCCTTTCCAGGCTTCTCTGGGTCACCGTAGGCTTCAGTTACTTCTTGCCCTGTCCGATCCACCACTGTTTGCACTCACTCAGAGCTCATGTGCACAACTGCACAACACCTCAAATCTGCTGAACACTGAGTAAAGCATTAAATGTCTCAAAAAGCATGTGTTTTCCTGAGGCAAGAGGATTGTTGCAAGTTCGAGAGCAGCCTGGGCTAGAAAGTGAGCTCAAGGCCAGTCTGAACTCCATAGCGAAACCTTGTCTCAAAAAAGACCAAAAAAAAAAAAACAAAAAGCATGTGTTGCCTCCAGACAGGCTGGTTCACACTTGTTTGGTTCATATGCCAAGTTGATTTTTAACACCTTTGCTTACTCTTTCTTTAAAAACATCAGTCTGTTTTTAGTACTGATATTCTTGGGCCCTTTAATCACCTCTGTGATTGAGCAAGTTACATAATAATTGATAAGCAATTTAATTGCATAGCATGGGCTCTCTTGAAAATTGCCTGTAGTACTTTTAACTTTCTTTGGCGGTTATTAATCATTGGCTGTGAATATGAGATTATTCCTCTTTAGTTTTGATATTTAGCTTTTTCCTTCAAATTATAGTGACTGACTTCTGCACTGACAGAACTTAAACTATTTCACTAAGCCAAAAGCATAATTTTTTTTCATGTAATTTTTAATTTCTTTAACAAAATTTTGCTCATTAGGTTTTTAAATATGATACAGATTTCCTTAAAGATAAAAGAACACTGCATTTTTTTGTTTTAAATTTGTTTTTAGGGAAATTCCAAGAGTACTTTAGATAAGGCATAGAATTTACATTATGATACTGTTAGTGTTTTTTAGATTTTAATGTTACAGTCAGGGCTGTTTCATACAAACTGTCCTAAAGGGGGCTGGGGATTTAGCTCAGCGGCAAAAGCGCCTGCCTGGCAAGCGCAAGGTCGTGAGTTCGGTTCCCGGTACCGGAGAAAAACCAAAAAAAAAAAAAAAAAAAAAAAAAAAACAAACTGTCCTAAAGGATGAATATATGTTTATCAACAAAAAAAGGTGTAGGGGGGTCAGAGATCTATTTGAGATTTTTAAGGTTCAAGTTTAAAACAGAATGCCTTCTATAAAAAAGTAGGGCTGTAGCTTGCTACTTCAGTTGGTTATTTCTTTGTGTAATCTATAGGATTTGTTCTAACTGATGGATACCCAGAAAAATTCTTTGAAATCAACTTGGCACTGAGAACAAAGAAAACTCACGAGAGAAGAAACGTTTAAAAGAGAAAAAGTGAAAGCAACTCTCCATTTTCTATAGTTTAGACATTAAAAGCAAGTTGGAAATGATTCTTGTAATTTGAAAACTAAAATCCACTTTTGCTAAGACTTAATTTCTGATGCCTTTCCTTGAATCCTACAGAGGAAAAATATTGTGGGTGTCTAGTGACAGAAATTAAAGTTTCACCCAAAATCCTACAAAGAACCCTTGGTTTTTAGTCATTTAAAATCAGTATCCTATCCACTGGAGCTCTCCTGTTCCTTCAGTTGATTACAGTTAGTATTTATTGAGCATGTAATCTGAGGGACTTGGACTGAGGTGTTACTGTTGTTTTTGTACTGAGGCCCCTCACTGAGATAATCCCCAGCCCTTTTTATTTTTTTAATTTTGAGACACGGTCTCAGTAAGCTGCAAGGTGTACAGGCTGGGCTAAACTTGTGATCTTCCTACCTCAGCCTTCCAGAACGCTGGGATTGCAAGGAGTACACCACTGTGCCTGGCTGTTCTCTGTGTGTCTGTCTATCTATGTGTCGTCTGTCTGTCTCTCTCATGCTGGGGATAGAATACAGGGCCTTGTACATTCGAGGCAAGTGTTCTACCACTGTGCTGCATCCCCAGTGTATGATCTGTATATTTTTGGGTGTAGAAGGTAAGGAGGGGAAGACAGGGATGTAAGAGCCAAATCAGAATGTATAGACTTGTTGGGGAAGGAGTACACACAAAAATCAGGTTCTAGGATGTGTGTGTGGCTCATGTGTATAAATAGTTTCCAGTATATTTTATATTAAAGATATTTTTTAGCTGAGCATGGTGGTGCACACCTGTAATCCCAGTGTTTGGAAGGCTGAGGCAGGAGGATCACTGTGAGTTCACAGCCATGGGCTACATAAACTCATTCAAGGCCAGGCTGCACTACATAGAGGAACCCTGTCTCAGAAAAAAAAAATTTTTAAAGACATTTTCTATATCCCTTTTCAAACAGTAACTTTTTTTTTTCTTTTTTAATTTTTATTTTATTTTAGAAATTAAAGGAGGAAAATACTAACAGACCGACAACATTTTACAAAATAGCATAGGATCAGTACAGACATTACAGAGTTACAAACAGAGTGGTAGGGAATTAACAATGCTTATTGTATTACATATTGATATCTTCAATGTAGTTTCTCATGAAAACACATATAGACATACAAAGCTAATCAACCAATGCCTCACTGACAGTTTCTTTCAGCAAGGAAACACAGGACAGTAGAACACCCGTGTTAACTATCCTGCATATACATATATACAAACTTTCTCCTTCTTTCCCTTCTCTTTTCCCATATTCCAGTTATCCTTTACCTATGAGTGCTTTCCTATCAATTCTCAATGTCTATCATATCTCCTAGATTAAATTAACTCTTTCAGGCTTTACACTAGAGAAACAATGCAGTGCTTGCACATGTATGTCAAACAGTAACATTTTAAACTACACACACAGGTAGATGGCTCATGAGAGTAAAGCCAAATTTGTTCCAGTTTGTAGCCAAGAATTCATACCAAGAAGAGTCTGAACTAATACTAAAAATAAGAAAAACAGTAAAATTAGGATGCTAAACTGAAATTAGAGGTTATGGAAAGAGTGGTGTTTCCTCTGTTACTAGGTTTGTCAAAACTAAGTTGTGAAGTTTTAGAAATCACATTAATTCTCGGCTCATTTAGTTACTACAGAAGTGTCACGCTAATGCAAGAAGTTAATCATAAGGGAAACGATGCAGGCACATAGGACCTCTATACTGTTTTCTTAAATTTTCTGTACATCTGAAACTATTTTAAAATTTTATTTTAAAACACACTAATAAAGTTCAGAATCTAGGAAAACGAGAGAACTCATCCACAGTTCCACCATTCTAATACAGTTTTGGTCACTGTGGTACATTTTCATATGCATAATTATAAAAAGAAAACCTGTTTGCAAACAATTTTCTATTATACTTTGTCTATCCTGGCTGTGTTATTCACTGTGTCACAGGAGTTTTATCTGGTTCGCTCTGGGGTCTCACCGTCATCATGCTGTGCCATGGCCTTGCAGATGTCATGGTCAAGGGCAGGACGATCCAGTCATCTGTGACATGGAAATGAGTCTAGGACCTGAGCCAGGGTGTGACTCCTCCGGTAGGAGGGATGGTGTAGGCAGAGGCTCTGAGGACAGGGTGACAGAGGGAACTAGAGCAGAAGCTGGGTCCCAGAGCCTGGACTCTTAAGACAGTAGTAGGCGGAAGGTATGGGGGTTTCTAAGTGGTGACCCCAGGGCTTATCTAGGCAGTGGGAAAAGCAGATGAACACTCTAGAGCAACAGAAACCCAAGGCTCCGTGCCTCCTACACCCTGAAGACCCCTAGTTTTCTTGGTGGATGATCTGTCGTTTTTTCACTCCCTATCAGTAAACCATAGTCAGTTCCCCTTTGTTTTTTTTTTTTGTTTGTTGTTTTGTTTTTTTCTCGTACCGGGAATCAAACTCACGACCTTGCGCTTGCCGGGCAGGTGCTGTGCCACTGAGCTAAATCCCCAGCCCCTCCCCTTTGCTTTTTAAACAATTTTTCATACACTTTATGTTTCAGAGGACTTTCAGGTACACAGAAAAGCTGAGTGGAAGGTTCAGAGATTTCCTATTTAACATCTACCCCCGCATACATAGCCTCCCACACTGTCATTGTCCCCTGACTCCTGTGGAGTATTTGTCATCGTTAATAAATCTACTTTGACACATCACGGCCACCTGAAGTCCATGGGTGTTCATTGGGCTCACACTTGGGCCGAGCCTTGGTGGCTTTGGAAACATCTCATGTCATGTCTGTGCTATTATAGAATCATACAGAATATTTTCACTGCCCTATGAATCTTTTATGCTCTGCCTATGCGTCCTCCCTTCCTCTAGCCCCTTGCCACCTCTGACTGCCCTACTATCCCTATAGTTTTACTTTTTCCAGAATGTCACAGGGTTGTTATCCTTGGCTTTTTCTACTTAGTAATACACAATTAAGGTTCATCCATGTCTTTTCATGTTTGATGGCTCATTGCTTTTTAGTACTGAGTAATATTCCCTTGTGTGAATGTACCAGTTTATTTATCCATTTATCTCTGGAAGGACATCTTGGTTGCATCAGAGTTATGAATAAAAGTGCTATAAACATCCATGTGCAGCATTTC